GTAAGATGAAATGCTGTTGCTTTTTTGATGATGGTAATTAGTAATATATTCTTTGAAATTCGAGTGAAGCCCATGCTAATATGGAGGAAGGGTCTAGTCCACTACTTTGTTAGAAACAAAGCCAATACTTGCTCATTTTTGTATGTTGCTTGTTCAGGCAAATAGTTTCTTAGCCATTAAACCAATACTTTTTTCTTGACAAGTTACTTAAGTTGTTTGATGTAAGAGAAAAGGCACACTTAACTTTTGAGCAGTCGCTGTTAGAATTTCCTTGAGTGCTTTGCAGCAAAATGTGAGTAGATTTAAAATATTTTATTGAATTCAAATGTTTTTAGCAGTACATAATTTGCATGGTTTATCAGTGTTCATAATTCAGTTTTAATAAAAACCCATATTTGGAACTTTTCTTCTCAGAACGTATAGAAAAGTAGGTGTAGATCGCAAACCTACTTGTGGTTGTGTATAGAGAAGAGGAAGATTGGGAAGGAAATGGATTTTATTTATGTAGTAAACCCTTGAAAGTTGACATTAATTAAAAATGCCACTGGAGAAACTTCTATCAGTTAACATTTTTCACTTTTAGGTTAGAGTGGTTTTTATAACTGTAGCGTTTAACATTGCTCCTTTTCCATTTTGAAGATGGTATTGAGAAGGGGCTTAATTCAAGATTTTAACTAACAGAATAACTAATCTTCGTAGTAAAATTATAGAAATCGTTTTACTTAAGACATAGTTTACACGATCCTATTAATCCTAGTTGGATGCCATTTTTGGTACCTTCCTCATGGATTTAGTTTCCTAATTTTACTGGGAGGGCAGTTGGATCAAAGCAACTATTACCACCTGATAAATTTCCAAACTAGACTGCAATCTACTATTGTAAAACTGAATTAAAATATGTGTGTGTGTGTGTGTACTCACACACATATATACATACATACATATTTTTCCTATGTGTGTAATCCGCAGAAACTTGCGTTTCTTAAAATCCACTCTGCTTTGTATACAGATAAATTTATATTTTTATGTGTCTGTTACTGGATTTTTTTTTTGCCTCCAGACTAAGAGGATTTACCAATGAACTCATGTTTACAAGTCCATGATATTATTTTAGCTGAAATGACTGGATTTTCACTGCTGTGTTGGGCTAGAAGTAAGAAACATACTACTTTCAAGGAGAATGTTTTTTAGATACCCAGATTAGTTCTTTTATGTATATAGGAATCAGAGCATACTTTTCCTTCTTACCACATAGTTAGTGAGTTTATATACTCATCTTATCCAGGACCTTCAAATAATTAGGATTTTTTTTTTAAGTGTTCAGTCAACTTTTAAGTTATCCAGGGATAGGGAATATGGATGCCTTCCTGAATAACACCATGTAATTTGAAATTATATAATGGGAAGCTTTGTGTTGGACACAGGAACAGTTTAAGGGAATGGTTACTAAGAAGTGGAAGTGGGGTCCAAGGGGTGGGAGAGAGATGGAAAAGGTAGGTAGGAGAGTATTTAAAGCAGCTGTGTCCAGTTTTTTTTTTTTTTTTTTAACCCCAGAGACTGACTCTAAAGCAGCCACTGCCTTTTTGTCAGGGTGGCAGTAACCCCCCTCTGCCCTTAGAGTGCTGTTTGTGAGGGAGTCTGAAGTGGTGCAGGGAGCCAGGGCACCTGTACCTCCTTTGCCCCTCTAAGGAGAATTTATTTCCTCTTTCCCACCCCCCCAAATCAGAATTTTCAATTAGTTCTTTTTAAACTCCTTGGAGATTTGGCTGTTAAATGTAACTTGGAATTACTTAAATCAGTTAATCTTGTAGATGACCAAAACTTTACTGAAATTCTCAGAAGAGGGACTTTTAGTAGGGAAAAGGCGAGGTAATTTTGGATCACTGGGCACTTCCAGAAAGGACAGTCCTGGGTGAGTGGTGGAAGTGGGAGGCTTTGAACAACCAGAGGGCAGCATGATCATGCTGGGAGGCTGGGCAGGGGGATGACCAGGAGGTGGGAGAGGAATGCATAAGGGAAGTGGGAGGGCCAAAGACAAACTTTGCCTTCTTTGCAATTTTGCCTAGGGCCCTGGTGGTGGCAACCGCCTGTGTGCCACTGAAAATCGTGCCGATGCCTGGCATACTGCATAAATGGAAGCAGGGTACCGCGTGAGTTGAAACATTGGTCACACTATATAAAGTTTGTATATGTGAATCAGTGTAACTCATACCCATGTAACTGGGGGTCTGACTGTATTTGGATTTTTCTGATAAGGCATCATGGGCTAAGAAAAAGAGCACTGGGCTGAGACTCAGGAGACCTGGTTTCTAGCCCCAGCTGTACCTCTAATTGTAACCTTGGGTAAGTCACTTAACCTTTTTTGCCTCAAGTTAAATCTATACTTTGTTAAATGAGAAGCCAAGTAATTTCTTATGTTATCCTCAAAAATGTTGACAAATAAGTATATTTTAAATTTTTTAAAAGGAAGAAACCATAGGTAGATATTAGTATCTTAAGATACATTAAATTTTATAAATACTTTGTTTTAGTTGTTAGCAGTAACAGAAAAGAGAGGGATAATTTGTTTTCCCCAACATATTCCATTCAAAAAGGAGAAGCGACACAGGAAAAGTCAAACAGCGAGCGGTTCAGTTGAATTGTTTGTGTGATGATTGGAGGAACCTAGTGTCCTCACACAGACTAGTCATTTTTGTTGTGTTGGTTTAATTGAAAGGATGTCCCTTAGCTAAAGCCCTTTTGCCAGCAACTATGGTTTAGTTATGAGAGGTCTCTAGTCCTGACCCCAGAAAGGTCTTGCAAGATTTGAGGGATAGGAGTTAAACAAAATTGAGGGTGTATATTTAGATTACTTTCTAAGTTTAGCAAGTAGGGAAGTTACAGAAGGTAGTTCTAAGGATTCCATACCTTTTAAATTGCTTATAACTCTTAAATGGGAACAGAGTCCATCTCTGAAAGGTTATACCAGGCCAGAAATAGCAATCTGCCCTCAAAAACAACCAGTAGACTGTAGGGCTCAGAATATAGATTAGAATTTTACAGCATCATTTGTTGTCCATTATGGTTAGGGAATGTACAGGGCAAGTTAAAGCTTTCAGGTAATTTTAGCTGTTTTGGATGATAATCTTTCTGAACCTATGATGTACTTTCTCAGTTAACAGAGTACATTAACCATAATTAAATGTTTTTGCTGATCATTTATATTGTACGATGGTTGTATCTTACAGGATGTAAAGTTAAAGGGAAATGCACCCTAGGAGATAATCAGGAAAATGCAGTTCAGAAAATCAGTTACTTGTTCCTGGTACTAGTGATACATAACTGTTGAACCTATAGGACAGTATAACCATGCTGCTTTTCTTCAAAATAAATATTGAATCAAAGATTGTAGTGTTCTCGTCAGTGGATTTTCTTCATAAAATCACCTTGACTGTAATCTGTGTTCCTTGAGTTGTCATCAACATTGAGAGCATTTTCTCCTCATTTTCTCTCATTAACATAATGGATCATTTATTTCTTGGTCAGTTGTAAATCATTCTTCTATTCCACTTGGATTATTCATTTTAAGTGAAGGAGGCATAGCCTTTAATGTGTAAGCACGCATTTTTAAAAATATTAATGGGATATATCTAATTCTAGAGCTTGTGAATTCTTTTGATATTTTAAGAAAATTTAACAAACATTAAATAGTTAAACATAAAGTTAAACAGTTTTAGTAAACATAGGATTTTATCAGAGGTCCAAGCATATCAAAACACTGAAAACTGTTAACACCCACATAGTGAATTCATTTAAAAAAAACTAGTTTTGAACTCTGAATGATATTTCTGACTACAGTACAACTCAGAAAACAATGATAGTATCCACCTCCTACAACTCTGCATTGTTCTTGGATTTTCTACAGTTTAGCTCTCCTCAAGGAAACCTGTGTTGGAGACATTCTTTGCTTCGGGTAAAAGAAAAAAGCCAAAGAAATCATTTTGTCTATCAGTGCATAAGCTTTATAAGCAGCAAGTAAATACTTTGATTTGGTTTGATTAAGATGTCATATAGGAATAAATGGTGAGCTCCATCTTTAAGATGGGTTAAAAAAAAAAAAAGATGGGTAGCAGGAAGTTAAAGGCAAGTAAGCTGTCATGGATGTGGGTGAGGGTTAGTGAGTCAATGTTCAGTACCAGGTGGTTCATATAAACATTAAACATTGGAGTTGCTAGGGGATTCAGGCAAATTCAGGGTTGCAAGGATAGGCAGAGGGCTTAAAACTGTGGGCAAGGCTAAATAAATGAGACAGGTACTCTTCAAGAATGGAATTCCAGGAAGGTGCTTGAAATGGACAGAATCCTAAAAGCCCAGGACTGTTAGTATATTCATTGAGGACACATACATGACTGTACTACCCAACTTAATAATGTATGGCAGAATTGTAGGTAAGAAGATGAAGAAAGTTGGAACATTTTGCTGAAGAGTGAGGGAGTGGGAGGAAGGGTAAGTTTATGACAGGAATCTTATGGATTCAGCACCTGCAAAAGTCTTTCTGTTCCTTTCCAGTTTAAGTTCTCATACACTAGCAGCTGCTAGGATAGAAATTAGAAGGCAAGGCCTTTTGATCGTTTAATCAGTTATGTAAGATTATTGAGGATGTAGAGAAAAGTAGTTCATAAAAACTCTGAAATTAGCTACAGTTTTGTGTTTTAACTAAGTAGCTTAAGACTTGAAAAGTCAAAGTCATTAGAAGAAAATAACATGTAACTCAGTCAGCTGAATAAATGTTACATTTTGCTGTTTAGCATGGGCTAGAGAAAGGAGTCTTTAAAACTTTTTTCTTAAAAAAGCACTCACTAGATACTGATCCTTATGTTCTAATTTAGTTGTGAACCATGTGCAATGATGTTTGACCTCTGTGATTCTACATGAAAAGAATTTAACCAGCTGCCCTTGCTGAATCTTTTGTCATGTCTCCTGAATGCATGGTAAATTGATTTGTTTTTATTTTCTTGAGACCTCAGTTTTCTGCAGACATCAGTTTTCTCTTTCGTAGTTAAACTTTACAAAGCTTTTCTTTTCAATAAAATTGGTTAGATGTTTATGTATAGCATCTATAGTGTATGTACCTTGCTGTTTGGCGGCTTCTATATTCTGTCCTACTGCTATGTTAAACATTATACTCTTCTCTGTCTCTTGAGGGTGTGTTTTAGATCAGGGTTGGCACTATGGCCCACTCGCTTTTTGTAAATAAAGTTTTGTTGGAACACAGTTGTGCCCATTTGTGTATATATGGTCTATGGCTGCTTTGCTTTGCAGCGGAGATATATAGCTGGTAAGTTTAAAGTATTTGCCATCTGGACCTTTAAGAAAAGCATGTTGACCATTGTTCTGGATCAGTGTTGCTCAAAAGTGTGGTGCCTGATCAACCTTAGCATCACCTGGGAACTTCTTAGAAATACAGATTCTTGGACCTGCCACTCCAGGCCTACCAAATTAGAAGTTCTGGGGTTGGGTGCAAGCCATTTGTGTTTTAAGAAGCCTTCCGTGTGACTCTGATGCACACTGGAAGTTTGAGAAACCCTGTTCTAGATAAATGTTTCTCAAATGTTAGTCACATACATCACTTGACCATTTTTTACCCTGTTTTAACATTTTTAATTGTCAACTCACTTTCTGAAGATTTAAGTTAACTTTAAAGTGAAAGTTTATGTCACCAGAAAAATAAATACAGTGAAAACAACATGGTGTTATAAGAGAAAACTAGATTCTGTTGTCATTTACCTGTGCTGAAAATTAGAGCTCGTTACATGTATTAATTAAACACATACTAGGCAGTAAGTGGTAACTTTTTTCTTGACTTAATCATGATATATAATCACTACTAAGTGATAGAGTGGTGTTCAAAATGTTATGCTGGTGAAATTATGTGACAGCTAAAATCACTTTTTGTACAAATTCCATACTTTAGAAAATGCTGTTCTAGTTCCTTACATGGAAGGAAAGCTGTTTGAACTGTACATATCTAAGCCCCTAAGTAGAAATGACTTTTCCTTAGAAATAGAAATACACACCCATAAGATGGAACGATATAGAAGTCCCTAGAGAGGTCCATTCAGACTTCTAGGATGAAATTGGCTATTTAGCTTGATCTTACCTCTCCATTAATGTTCCGGTCTGTGGTGGTCGGTATTTCTGCAGGACTTCACCAACCGGTTTCACAGTGGGATTGTGAAAAGGTGCTGGCTGTTTGTCAAAGAAAACTCATGGACTAGAAACTGGGGAGAAGTGCTATGATTCTGCATTATGGGCAGGGAACTGTTAGAGCATGCCTACTAAGGAACAGTTGATTCCCCTCAGATTTTAGAAACCATGTATTTTCAGAAATTCTGGTATGAGAATAAATAAAATGATTTAATTTGCCTCATAGTATTACAGGGAATACTTCCCCAGAGATAGTATTCTGATACCAGCTGATGTGTTTTAGGATGTAGTAATTGTTGGTGCAGCTAGAACCTGAATATCCCTAGGTTGCTGGGTTGCTTCAGATTTTTCTTGCTTTCTTTTTCTTAGAGATTATGGACATATTTGCTGCTTTTATCATTTGACTCTGCAATAAACTAGTGACATAAAACTCTGACCCTAGATGGACTGAAAGTCTAGTAGGGAGTGAAGATGTACAGTGAGTGATAAATTCTGTATGCTGATTACATATTTAGATATCTAATTTTGAAAAAATGTTAAAAATAAAAAAGACTGCCAAACATCTCTTAAGACTGAACAAATGTTTTGTAAGTTTCCCTTAAAAAAAAAAAAAAAAAAGTGTTACAAATGAAGTCTCTTAGGTTCTCCTTCACTGTTTTAGTCCTTTCCCCCAAAGGCATTTTTTGTGAATATGTCAGTGAATTTTCTTCTGTGTTGTTTCAGTACTTACAAGGCTCAGTCTCCTTCATGCTAATCTGTTTTTTCATTTTAAATTCCTTTATCATTGAGTTGTCTGTCACTTCTGTCCTTTGATATTCTCATTTCTTTTCCATTTTTGTTTCTTTACTTTGTTTTATATTTGGGGAGGCTCCGCTTAGCTTTTATAGCAATCACCAACCATTGAAAACTTGCCTCATTAATAGACAGATCTGCCAAATACTTTTTCTTCTGCTCTTTTCAGCTATTTCTTCATAGCCAGAGATAGCTTTTGTTACTTCTAATTTTGTGTATAAAACATTGCGGATGATAGAAGGCACCAGATAGCCAGAGTATGAGTGTTACTGTGTCAGAATTGCAGCTCTGCAAGTAAGCATCAAAATATAAAATATAGCAGGCTACAACTTTTCAATAATTGACTTCCCTTAATGGCATATACCATAAAACAAAGTATATGTAATCCACTTTTAGGACTACATTTGTGGATAACTATTTATTCAAGACACACTTCTAATGTGTGCCTTAGATCTAAGAGGAGCAACATGTTGATTTCCTAAAGCATACATCTCCTGGCGGAAGTGTGATGGCTCTGACCCCTGCCAGTGGCCAAGACTCTGCTTTATAATGAGAGAAAACAGGATTGTGGCAAGGGGTAGGATAGAATTCTTGGAATGCAGCTACTTTAGTATTTATTTTTGAACATTTCCTTTACCATTCTTTTAGCTCTTAAAGACCCTAAGCTTTTTCTCCTGTTACAAGGCTGTTTCTCTGTTTCATTCCTTACAATATTTTTATATGGATTTTCACAGACAAATAGACTGGAAATTTTGAAAAATTATTTTAGCATTATTTGTCTTTGATATTCAGCAAGAACAAACTTGTCTTGGAAATTTCTTCCACAGTGGGCATTGCATTTTAAAAATGGGCTTGTCATGGGGACTATGATGGTGAGGGTGATACAAGTACCTATTTGTAATGATAAACCATATGAAAGAATTAGGAGGGCTAGCCTTTTAATACCCTTATTTTTTGGAATTTTCTAGGGTAAAGGAAAGCCTCTACTAGTACTCAGTGTGATTTCCTAAGTTCTGTTAGAAATGACTTGATACTACATTTGGACGGGAAAATGCCCTCATTAGTTTTTCCTTCTGCCATCTTTGAGTATTTTTTCTTTCCTTTCCTTATATAATAAATATGTTCCTGGAAAGTTTCATATGTACCAGGTCATATTAAATATTTTCAAAGCATCAATGATCATTATTTTAAGACCTGGTAGTGAATGCTTTCATAAAATGAACTTATACTTTGTAGTGTATAAATATATGATGAATTAAACAGTGTATTTATTAACAAGGTAAATGGAGTAATGAGTGTTTTCTTTGAAGATTATTTTAAAAGCATTCTTATAGGTGCGCTTTAGGCTAAATTTAGGCTATAGATGAGCTTCAGGCTAAAGGAACAACAAAGGTAGGTGGGAGAAGTTAGGGGAGTTGGTGAGACTGATGGAGAAAGCTGTAAAAGGGTCAACGTTGTTCTTTACTGTAATAGTTACTGTGCAGCAGTAGCTGTTGGTTCCACAAGAAGACCTAAGAGTTTCACAAAAACATGAAGATGAGTGTTTACTAGCACAGGACAGGTCTCTTCCTGCTCTGTACTAGATGAGAAATTGGTCTTTATATAGTTTCCACGTTCTGCGGACTCATAGCTTATGTTGTAAGAAATGGTAATAAGAAGGTGGAACATTTGGAGATTTGAGGGCACGGGAAATAAGAAACTTTAAGCTTAAAGAAATTTAAAGCTTATTCACCGCTCTTTCTAGCTCTGGCTTTTCTTTCACTGAAAGAGTATGGCATTTATTCCAGAGGGAGTAAGCCTACCCTGCCCCAGCCAACAGAGACACAGGGCCCCAACAAGTATACCTGTGGGGAGGGGAAGGATTTGATTGTCACATCAGAGAACGTGAGCTTTTCCCCTCTTGGCCCCGTTTCTAAACTAGGATGCTTCTGTTTGCTTTGTGTGCTGTTGAGTTTTCCCTCTGTTTTCTCTAAGCTAAGCTTTAAGCTAATTCTGTACAAAAGAAATACTAATTAGTTGTTTTTATAAATTGCTTGCCATTAATGCCTGATAAAATGCAGTAAAATAAGGATTCTGCATACCATTATATATGTCAAATATTACAAACTTTAAGGTTCTTTTGAAATTACAATACTAAACTCAGTTCACTTTTGCTTAGCCTTCACAGTTGTTGATCACATAGCATGGTCATCCACTCACAGCTTAAAAAAATACAGGGAGCATCGGAGAGAATGGGTAAAGTAAAATTTTGATGTTTTTAAAAATAGCACCTAAATCTATGAAAATTGATTTGATTTATTGTTTGTATGGGAGGGAGAGGGTGGTTGGCACTGGAAGGGAGGGGGTGGATATTGGGGAAATAGCATGCACCATGTAAAATGATGTTAGATACCATATAGGCTAAAATTTTAAGTGTTACTACTGCAGTTTAAATGCAAGTCTATTTCAGAAGAGGCAGGACCATACAGTGGCAATGTTGGGATTTACAGTGGGCCTAGCTTTTTCTCCCTACAGATTGAAGGGGATTTTGAGAATAGCAGCTTTTGAGTAGTTTGGACAGAAGTCACCTTTTTAGAGTGACCTGTCCATATTCCCTGAGTGAAGCTGCTTTGGTAGCACCTCAGGTTCCATTAATGTTACTGAGGAACATTGTTTAAGAGGAACAACGTGCATTCTAGTTTTTATTGTACACCTGTGACTTAGTTGTTCCCAAATATAGGTTAGGATTCATGAAGCCCTTGAGGGGGTTGAGGAACAGAGAGAGGTTACTCTGAAGTTAGTTGTTTGGTAGAAAAAATAGAAATTTTGGTGCTTCCTTTCAAATGAAGAACATTTTTTCTTTCAGAATTCTAAATCAAGGTTTTAATCTCAATCCTTACCATTGTAGTTATTTACAAACCCTAATTAATTAGCATTGTGGAAGTTATAGAGAAGAGAGTCTGCCATGTTTTTATGGGTAGGGCATTTTGTTGTAAATTGTGTTAACTGCCTTATTATTTTTAAGCTTTTTCTTTGTTTACACATGTAAAATCTGGGGGAAGAAATTAAAGAAACAAGGTTTTACCCTAAAAATATTCTTGCCTCAACTTTGCTGTTCCCCTACGTGAAACCATTTGCCAAAGCCAGATATGATTTCCCAAACCTTCCTGCCTTCCTTTGTCAAAGATGGTATGCCAGTTTGGAACGCTCTTCTTTGCCCATTCTTTTGGTCTAAGTCCTATCTTTCCTTCAAATAATGGCTTCTATCTATTGCACAAAGCCTCTAACCTCTTCAGTCCTTGTGGTCATTGTAGTCTTAGAATTCCTGAAGTACTCCTGTTTGATAGTATTCCATCCATTATAGACATTCATTTGGCACTTGAATCATGCCCTTTTTGTTGTTACTGTATTTAAATACCCTCTTTTCTCTAGGAAAGTGATGGGCTCCTTGAGGGTAGAGAGCTTGTCTTAATTAAATGCCTCTTTGTAAACCCATTGCCTGGCACAGAGGATATCTTCAGGAGTTGGCTTGATTCTTTGATTTGGATTCAGTATTAGTGTAATGGGGCAGTTGTTTAACTTAGGTTATTTTTATAGTGAATACATACCCAGAAACCCCAAAGATAAAGCACATTTGAAGTACATTTGATTAATAAAATAATTTCTTGTAAGGAGATTTGGTTCATATTTGTTCCTTATTAATTACAGCCCCTCTCCCCACCTTTGTTTTTCAGTGAGTGCTGTTTTACCTAGTTTACCTTTTGAAAAACATGGTTTGGGCCAGATATATTGACAGAAATCAAAATTGCTAGTATTTTTATTTTACAATTCTTTGATTAGTCAGATGATACTTTCATGGTATAAGCCCAAATAAATTTATTAAATACTACATGGTAATATAGCCAAATTAGAATGTTAAGCTTAAGGTCTCAAGTGAAATTTTAAAAATACCAGTAGAGAGATACTCAGTTCCTAATCCTTTTCATTTCTGTATCTCAAGTTATTAGGAATTTTATTATTTCTTTGTTCATAAAGATTACTGTGCAAGCTGATGTTTGATAACTGTGTTTATTGTGTTTGCTGCAGTTATCAAATAGAGCAGACATTTATATGCAGTGAAGAATTAATTAAAAATACTTTTTGGTGTTTATAGAAAGTGATACTTTTTTGTAGTATCCCCAAACTCATTTGGGATAATTTTAATTCATATTTGAAACTGTTTACATTTTATCTGATAGCAGTGTCTTCAAGGCACATGTGTTAATATTGGATTTATGTTGTGATTTCTTACAAAATGCTTAACTAGTAAAACTTCTAAAATCTTAATTTTACTCTGAAGCTTGGCTTAAAATATTCTTGAGCCATTAGTTTGACAAAGCACTGAAACGATACTGCTGTTGCATTACTGAAAAGCTTAGATAATTGTGGCAGGAGACTTCTAGAATGTAAGTTTTTTCCCTCTTCAAAAATTTATGTTTAAATTTCTTAGCATAATTTGAGTACAGATTTAAGGTAAAATATTTTTTTCTTACATGTGAGGAAGCAAAAAGCCTCTAATAACGGCATTGCCATTCTGATGTGAGCTCATTGGAGTACCAGTCTGACATGAGCTTAAGGCCCTGATCAGTCTTGATGAAATTCACTTTATAAAAAATTTTTTTTCTAAAACCCAGTTGCCCCAGGGACCACTTTACAGAGCTCTAGCCTTGGACTTTTAGCTATGATCAGTCATATTCTTCTCCAGGTCAAAACACAGAAAACACCCCCCCACCAGCCCTGATTTTGTTCACTTTTGTTTTCATATACAAGAATCTTTACAGTCAACATGTACTTCTAGATGCTGTATTGAAATTGCTGGCAGAGTCTATTCTATACAAACTGAACAATCTGGCCCCTTGTTTTATTTGTAAAGGTTCAATGTATCTATGCCTGCCTACTTCAATCTGCAAGGGAGTGTCAGAAAGGCCCCGCATTCGCCGAGCCGTGAGTTATCACTAACTTTTCAGATGTGTTAATGAATGTGGAACAAAAAGCAGTTGTGTTTAAAAGGAAAAAAGGACCATCAAAATAACCTTTATTATAGTAGCAGGCGTGAACACTAAATGAATTACTCCAAATTGTGGTGTCAAAAATAACATACTTTAACTAGAGACTAGCCTCTAGAAAACCTATTGTTGAACTGCTCTGAAGCTGTTGTTTTAGCGATGTTACTGTTCTTAAAGTTTTATAAACCATGATTGCAAATTAATATGTTCTTTAAGTCTTTTTAACCAAGTTAAAACAATCTGAACAAAATCTTACCCCACCTAAAAATGATAGTATTTAATTGACTTTGAGTTAAGCTCTTTAAAATAATACCATGTGAAAGGGGTAAAGTTTTAACCTTTTTTGTTACTCACATGTGAAAAACAAATGAAACAGCTGAATCTCTTCCTCGATGAAAGTTTTAGTACAGTGTTATATATACAGTCTGTTTTGGTACCAACAGTTCTTGCTTCAGTAATTCACCAGTAGGTTTTCATTCATCAATGACTATGTCAATTTAAGGCTAAAAATAAAACATTTTCATTTCCTAGGGCTTAATCAGTCTCCTTAGAGGAAACCATCCTTAAGAGTTACCCCTTCCCAAAGAGATTTGAACCAAAAAAAATTCGTAACTAACATTTATTTTTTTGTTGTTGTTATTAGAGATAGTTACCTTTCTTTTTCTTAGATTCTTTCAAGTTTTGAGTAGATAGGCATATTTGACTAGCAGGTTGGAAGCTTCTGTTGCCTAGGAGGTGTATTGTGTTAAATGAAGACAGAATAAATTTAAATGTACCCAGTTTGGCCATTTATAGCACAGACTACCTAAAACTTGGAGGTATGGAACCTTTGGAGCCATTAAGTTAAATGTTTCATTTAGGCAATGTGCCTTTGTCTGACTGGTGTGTAAGTCCTTCTTCCAGGTTTGTACACTCTTAAACACGTCATTCTACCCTCTCTAACTCCTCCCAGCAGCAAAAGGGAGACACTTCAGCTGGAACAAAATAGTGGAAGAAATGGCGTCTGGGGTTCAGTGGGGATTCGCAGTGTGTATGCAATGTTTGCAAGATTACTTTTTATGTTTTTCAATTAATGTAAATAATTACAGAATAAATCAGTGCTTAGTGTCAACATAGGGAACATCGTATACCAATAGAGATTCTCCTAGTGGGTCTGCTGCAAGTTGTTTAACCTCTTGGGTCCTCAGTTTTCTCATCTGCAGTATAAAGGAGTTGGACTCAATAATCTTTAAGGTCCATTCCTGCTCTAAATCCTGTGCTTTTCTGAAGTACTCTGTTTAACAGAATGCATTGCTTTCCCACTTTGACTGTTTGAATTACATGTGCAGTACACGTACTGCAACTGCATGTTGTCTAAAATAGTTTTTCTATAGGATATTATATAAACTAACCCCTCTTGAGGTGATTTATAAATGTGTGTATATAGCCACACATGAAAAGCTAGTGTTAGTAGGGCTCTTAGAAAATACATGTTTTCCAAGTGTCTAACCTTGAATGTCATTAACTTTCCTCTATTACAGGAGACACTACTCGTCAGCGAATCAAATTCAGTGATGACAGAGTGTGCAAGAGCCACCTTCTCAACTGTTGCCCCCACGATGTCCTGTCCGGGACTGTATGTATTTGTTAAACCTATTGTTTTATTGTTGGTGTACTACAAAAACAAACTACTTGATAAAGTCTTAGTTTTGTGTCAAATTATTATGCGGTGATTTTTTTTAAAAAACACTTGTTAGCAGAGCAATTTACATCCATTATAGTCAGGTTGATTATTTAGTTCTGCAATAATGGGATTCCTCACAGAAATTATTGCTATTTTATTTTATAATATTTTTCATTCTAGAGCATTTATTTGGAACAAAGAGGCAGTTATAATACAGCAGTTACATTTTTAGTTTAGAAATAATAATGTAAATGATTTTTTAAATAGTTTGCTTCAGTGTTGAGCATAGTAGACTTTTATCCAAAACAGTTTACATTTTCATTAAGATTTCTGCACATTTGTATTGTAGAAATTATTGTGAAGCAATATGTTGGTAATTACTTAAATTCACAGTAAAGTTTGTGAGTAGTGTTGGTTAAAACTCACTTATATTGCTTACTCCTGATAATACATAAAGCTCACTTAATTTATATTCTATATCTAGTGATGTTAGTTTACCTTAAAGTATTATTATTTTTAATTTGGTGGATAAATCACATGATTATGGACCTTTAGAACAAAGGATTTGGTTACCTGGGTTTGGGATTTGATTGAAATGATACTTTCAAGAGCTCCTGGTCACAGGGATAGCAGAGGAGGGCTGGTAGGGCCTAAATAGCTGACTTTTTCATTTTTCTAAAATGAAAGGATTTCATACTTCATTTGCAGCAGCAGTGAGGTCCCTTAATTAAAGATGTCTAAATGAATGGTTTCTTCTGCCGTAAGACGTGGGATGTTAGTTCCCTGATGAGGGATGAGAGCCACATTCCCTGCAGTGGAAATGTGGAGTCTTGATGAGTGGTGTCTTTTTGATAGGAAGAGTAAAATACCTTAAATGTACAGGTATCCAGGCATTTTTGATTAAAAGAAAAACAAACCTGTCTTTTGGGGGCTTCCCTGATAGCTCAGTAGGTAAAGAATCCACCTGCAGTTCAGGAGACCCAGTTTGATTTCTGGGTCAGGAAGATCCGCTGGAGAAGGGATAGGCTACCCACTCCAGTTTTCTTGGGCTTCCCCTGTGGCTGAGCTGATAAAGAATCTGCCTGCAATGTGGGACACCTGGGTTCGATCCTTGGGTTGGGAAGATCCCCTGGAGAAGGGAAAGGCTACCCACTCTAGTATTCTGACTACCACTACCCACTCCAGTATTTTGGTCTTCCCTGTAGTTAAAACGGTAAAGAATCTGCCTGCAATGCAGGAGACCTGGTTTCGATCCCTGGGTCAGGAAGGTCCTCTGAAGGGAATGGCAGTCCTCTCCAGTATTCTTGCCTGGAGAATCTCATGGACAAGAGGAGCCTGGCGGGCTATGGTCCATGGGGTCCCAAAGAGGCGGACATGACCGAGCGGCTAACACTACTACACTTGTCTTTTTTTAGTAGGAAAGACCATTGAAACTATGTTATATAAGTTAAAAGGAATAGAAGTGCTAACATTTAAAAAATATATAAATACTTAAGTTTTTTTTTAGTATCAGTATATTACAGGGCAAGCATGCTGGTTTCTCAGTGCTTGAATTAGGACTGTGACAGATATCTCTATTAGACCTTCATATCTACTCTTTAGAATTTGCATAATTAAAATATTCTGCTCTGCTGTAATATGATTGAAATCTATTTTATCTGTGGTGGTATTTGATTCTTCACATTTACTGTTTTAACACTTAATGATACTTATGGATAAATTATCACTTCAAATGAATTTGTGAACAAGATTAGTTGATAAGTGGCAGAATTTAAGTTTTTGGTATTTTAAAACCAGCAATAGCAAGACTGACATATTATTACATTCTTCAGGTATAGCATTTAATAACTAAAAAATCTGACATCACAGTTGTGCTTTTGCATTTTATAATTATATGATTCAGTTATACTCATTTATTTCTATGTTGGGTAAAACAATTTTTTGAGTATATGTTCCATAGTTAGCCTTAATGATAGTAAAGTGATTTATTCAAAATCATTCAGTTCTGTTGATTGAAAGTAAAACTGGGACCAAAGTCAAATTTTCTGAGGTCTAGTTTTATTCACTATGTCTTACACTCTGTAGGTAATACTTAATCCATCATCATGTTGATGTTAGACTTTCATTGTAAAATTCTTGCTGGTGGATTTATCTCTGTAATGTGCATCTTAAAGTTGATGATAGAAAAATACTACTTTAATTTGTTACATTTTTCTTACAGTGAGGCTTAACATTGGCATTTTGAATCACTTGAAAAATAGTGAATGACCTTCAAAAGGCACTTGTTAGGGAAATTCTATATGAGACATCTCTTCTTTATGTCAGCTTAATAGGCAAGAGATTGTCATTTATGTAAGGATGTAGTTAAGTTCTTATGAGCCTCTTAAGCAAAATTTTCAGGGCTGGCTCTAGAATTTTGTTAACAGTCCAGGGTTGCCTAGAGTGGTGAACTTGAAACCACCCATGAGTGATTGTCTCATGACCCTTACTATAATACTAAAAAGGACTGTTTATAGCACTTTATTCTATGTATATGTGGTTTTTAATTACAGAGCTCTGACTTCTTTAGCAACCAATCTCTATAGGACTCATGCTTTTCTGGCACAGAATCTAATAGTTCACATCTCTGTATGTTGAAGATATTTTTTTGACCTGTTGGATCAAAGATGAAAAGAACCGAATTGTAACTGTTGATTTAATAGTGTTTTTTGTTTGTTTTATAACTAAAAGTTGCCTTTAGTTTTCCAGACCTTGTTCCTCAGATCTGTCACTTCCAGCAGAATATGACTCATCAGTGGTCTAGATTATTTAGCAGAAGATAACACGGAAATATATTCTCTGGCTTTTCTTTATTATTATAAAAAGGTTGAACTTTATACTGAGTACTTGGAGATAAAGGGTATGGTTTCTGAAAATATGCTCATAACTGACAATTTGAAATATTTTTGAAATTCACTTTGATGAAAATGCCCCTGTAGCATTGTACTTTTCTTTAGTCTGGTACTTTGGTATAACTTTTTTTTTTGAGTATAGTTGATTTACAAAGTTGTATTAGTTTCAGGTATACAGCAGAGAGATTCAGTGTTTTACACATACACACACACACACGTACGTACGTACGTACATACAAATATAGTTGTTTGTTTAGTCGCTAAGTCCATATGACCCATGTTCTGTAGCCCGCCAGGCTCCTCTGTCCATGGGATTTCCCAGGCAAGAATACTGGAGTGGATTGCCATTTCCTTCTATTTCAAAGGCTTGGATTATTTTCCTGTTCATCTAGAACTTTTTGTTTGTCTAACTCTTTTCATACTTTGGTCCATTTAGTTGTCTCCTTATATTTAGCATGCATAAAGTAAACAGCACCCCCTTTCAGATTTAGGCAAAACAAAAACCCTAAGAGTTGTCATCGCCCCCTGCTCCCTCCCTCCACCAAAATAAACCACATTATTTCTGGTTCATATATTCCCTAAGGAAAGATAAGTATATTGAAGTGCTTAAAAAAATCTTTGCATCTAGTTTCTAGTAACCTGGGGAAAAGGTGTGTAATAGTAATAATTTACAGAAGGCATTAAATTTGAAGCAGGTAGCCTCAGAGATTGAAACTAAGATCTGCAGGGATGGGACTGTATACTCATAATACATCTATCCTAAATTCAAAAATGGCCACTACTAATTTTCTTAGAGACTTCACTGTAGCATAATTTTAGTGTTGACAGGCCATCATGTCTTCTAGCTTAAGGCCATCATTTTATATAGATAGAAAATTAAGATTCAGAGAAATTGTCTTTCTCAGATGTTTCACAAATAATCATGGTATATTATACCACAAAGGAATCTTAGAGTTATTTTAATCCAAATGCTTCTTTAATGTTTTACGTTGTAAAGACCTGATCTTGAGAAATACTTTAGTTCAGTTGCTCAGGCATATCTGACTTCTTGCAACCTCATGGACTGCAGCACGCCAGGCTTCCCTGTCCATCACCAACTCCCAGAACTTGCTCAAACTCATGTCCATAGAGTCAGTGATGCTGTTCAGCCATCTCATTCTCTGTTGTCCCCTTCTCTTCCTGCCTTCAATCTTTCCCAGCATCAGGGTCTTTTCTAATGAGTCAGTTCTTTGCATCAGGTGGCCAAAGTATTGGAGCTTCAGCATCAGTCCTTCCAATGACTGTTCGGACTGATTTCCTTTAGGATTGACTGGTTTGATTTCCTTGCAGTCCAAGGGACTCTGAAGAGTCTTCTACACCACATTTCAAAAGTATGCTTTCTTCAGTATTTGGCTTTCTTTGTGGTCCAACTCCCATGTCCATACATGACTATTGGAAAAACCATAGCTTTGACTAGACGGACCTTTGACAGCAAAGTAATGTCTCTGCCTTTTAATATGCTGTCTAGGTTGGTCATAACTTTTCTTCCAAGGAGCAAGCGTCTTTTAATTTCATGGCTACAGTCACCATCTGCAGTGATTTTAGAGCCCAAGAAAATCAAGTCTGTCACTATTTCCATTGTTTCCCCATCTATTTGCCATGAAGTAATGGGACTGGATGCCATGATCTTTGTTTTCTGAATGTTGAGTTTTAAGCCAACTTTTTCACACTCTCTCACTTTCATCAAGAGGCTCTTCATTTCCTCTTTGTTTTCTGCCATAAGGGTCGTGTCATCTGCATAGCTAAGGTTACCGATTATTTTCTCTCGGCAATCTTATTTCCAGTTTGTGCTTCCTCCAGCCTGGCAATTTGCATGATGTACTCTGCATATTAGTTAAATAAGCAGGGTGACAACACACAGACTTTATGTACTCCTTTCCCAATTTGGAACCAGTCTGTTGTTCCATGTCTGGTTCTGACTGTTGCTTCTTGACCTGCATACAGATTTCTCAGGAGGCAGGTAAGGTGGTCTGGTATTCCCATCTCTTGAAGAATTTTCCACAGTTTGTCGTGGTCCACACA